TTAGGGCGAGTGCAGTGCTGTTCCTGCCCGTGTATTGGCAACACTGATTTTTTTAGCGCCAATCTAAACTCTATCACGAGAACTCACGGAAAAATCCCGAAGTTGGTAATGTTTGTCTTGCTATAAAACCACAATAGGAAATAAAGGGTTAAAATATTTTATTATGTGGCAATAGAATTTATGTAATTTTTATTTATAAACATCTATCCCTTTCACGAAGAGGCACATACGCATTCCAGATATTTATATTTACATATGTAAATATTCGGCGTTACTTTTCTTCCACAAGTTCACACCGTTCTTTTTTAAATTTTGGAATAATTTTCATTTCAGGGGGTTCGTTATTTCCATAAATCGTTACGTTTAGTGAACAAAACGTTTTTAGTTTAAAATATTCGAAAGCGTCGGTGAGAAGCTTCGAAAGGGAAACCGTCGTCTGGAGAATCTTTCGCGGACAAAGGGCCGAGACAGAAGAATAAGACCGTTAAATAACCGGACTTCAGACTATGTGAATCGCCACTTATTTGAATTAAGAAAAGTGAAACGGACTTTAGTAGAAAGGTCACGCACGAGCTGAACCTCCGGCAAAGTATGCGACGAAGACGTCCTTCCGTATCGAACCCGGATAAATTAATGAAGAAGACGGTGCCCAAGCCCAAAAGCACATCGTTAACCTCGGAGTTTTATTGGTAAATTTGTCAAGCAGATTCATCGATTTGCTCGCAATAATCGAAGAAAATCAATGAAGATTTAATCAGCAATACCAGGTCTTATTTGAATGGAAAACGAGTTTGTTTCGAAAAGGCAGGTGCACCCGCTTGATTTTGCAATACATTCCGAATTCAACTTGTTCGTCAAATGAGTTTCTTTCACTTTGGAAATTATTTTAAAATAAATTTAATATAAAATATCAAAATTGGCCTTGTGGCTGCCCTTAGGATTTTGACTATTACCTGAACTCTTGGATGGATCATAAATTCAAAAAGCTTTCTGTGTATTCTTGTTTTTAAACGATTTCTCGCCTCAGTGAGGAAGAATTATGTCTTGTCGACCAACCACATATCTTTATTTTCAAGAGGGCTTTTTTTTTTATTTTCATAAGATTTTCTCTAATTTGTAAAGGAGAAGATCTTCTATCTAAGTTTTTATTTACACCAAATTGCATTTGAAACTTGATGAATGATCGTATAATATTTATGTGCTACCCTCTAAAGATTTTCTAGCCCATTCCAGGATACAAAGAAATCGGAAAATCCTACCATATTACTTTTCCAGTTCTGATAAGATCTTAGAAGAACTTTCTACTCTAGGTTCGCTTTCAATGATCTAGGTCCGACTAAATTTGGCACTATACAAAACCTATACTATTTAGATAGCAGTGGTATTCAAAATATGTCCGAGGATTTATTAAAGTAAGTTAATTACTGTAATATTGGAGGACTTAACGTTCAATTACTCGTTGGGTGTTGCACGAGAGGTCAAACCACTTTACAATACATTTTTCATACCATTATCAGTATCAGAACCGATGATCAAGTATATCATTATCAGTTAAAAAGCCATAGGCTCTGCCGCGATTCGAATTCAGAACCTGTAGTGTGATAAACACGATCGATCACCCTAATCACTCGGCGGACAACTTCAACTACTACCTTGTGGGAGTAGGACTACCACAGGGCAGTGTGCTTGGCCCACTATTGTACCTCATGTACACCTCAGACCTCCGAACTACCCTCTATCCTTCTCGACATCTCAGACGAAACAGCTGCTTTACTCTGATCCCGATCCTGAAATGGCCTCGGAGGAATTCAGACACATGACCAACGAATAGCCAAATGGAACAAACTTAGGAGGGTAAAACGAGCAATATCCAAAGAATTCAGTCCTTCCAATTTAAATTCCTCAGAATCATTGTCAATATTCCGTATTGTGTCGCAAATACTTTGGACAACGACCTTAAATTACTTTTGTAAATTTAGTGACAGCTGAGGGACAGCAGTTGGCGTTTATAGCCAAGTCGGCTGTTTAGAAGGCGAGATCAGGCTAATGCTGCGAGTACTCTTGATGTCGTCTACGGTGTTCCATGTGAAAGCTCGGGCTGATGAGTCTGGTGTCGTTGAGTATTATTAGTGATTGGTGAGAACTCTTTGGGTTGACAAGTCACCAACATTAGTGATGGTTGAGATCTCGTCGGATTGACGAGTCTGATTTCAGTGGGGAAGTGCCCCTGCTTATACAGGGAAGAGCTCCGTGCTGATTGGCTGCAGAGTGGAGGACGAGATCATTCCATAAGTCGTAGTGGCACCTAGCGGTAAATTGTGGTAGCTACGAGTGGCCACTACAGTAAATAAATTAATTTTCACCAAATTTTCTAATTTCCATGATAAACTCTCAATTCACCCGAATGCACTAGCCCAATCCATGTCCAACATAATCCATCCATATAAACTCGTCAGAAGACTAAAGTCCCCTGGCCCTGGGACCTCCTCTCCAAAAAATTTTATTGAAGAAAAAAATACTCACCTGCTGCGATTCCCTTCCACCTTATTTATACATTTGTCTGAAGGTTTTGTCTTCGAATCCAATGAGCGTTAGACGTCCTTTGGATCAACCATCGTTGCTGGATATGAATCCTTTTTCCCAATGAATTCGAACTAGTCAACAGAAAATCCGTTAAGCTTTAAGATTTATTTCTAGTCTTTGTTTGTCAATGTGCAATTCCAATATTTGCAGACATATGCAGAAAGGAGAAGGATTATGAAAGTCGGCTTTGAATCACGATTGCAGAACGGAAAGAAATCACGACGCGACGACGTCTGCCCCCTTCCGACTCTGTTCAATATTTCACAGTCTGCACCTACTAATTCAAAGTCACGCATATTCGTTGAGGCGATCTTTCAAGAAAGGTTCCTCCCACAACACCGTATCCCTATCTCAGGGGAAATAAAACGAAATTGAAAGCGGTTCGAGCGTATATTTTCAACGGACGTTGCCTTCTTTTACTACGGCACCCCACGCAAATTGGGTATTGTTTTATGGTCATCCGCAATTTTCTCGGTTTTTCTGTAATTATTGTTGAATTGTTGTTTATTTCAAAGAATAAAGAAGTACTATCAGTTGATCTTGAACAGATCGGGAAATTAGAATCTTTGATACCTGATAATCTTTGATCTTTACGAAGTTGCTCAAACCATATGAAGTCGTAACAAGTAAACGTTTTAATAAAAATAAATTTTATTTATGTTAAATTGTATTTATGTGACAAACATTAAAATCGGAATGTATGCGAAATCACTTTGAAATCCTTGCCCCCATGGGGGGGAATATTTTCCCGTCAAATTAACCCTTTTTAGTTTTAAATTAACCTTTTTTAAATTCAAATTAACCTTTCTTTAAACTTTAAACTAACTTTTCTTTAAAGCAATAAAAAAACCTTAGGCGATGACATGAATTATAAGTACGTAAAGAAAATTCCTGTATATATGCGAATTTTTTAATCATAAATAATTAAAGATTATATAAAAATAATTTACCATTAAAATTAAAAATTATACAAATTAAAAAGAATGGGTTCTTCTATGATTTCGAGATTTTATACAAATATAAAATGTTTTCTTATCGAAAATACTACATGACAATCAAATACAACTAAAATAAAAAAATGTTACAAAATTAAATCTAAAATAAAGGATTCTTTTATATTTTCGAGATTCGTAAAAAATATGTTTTCTTATGGAAAATACCACATGACAATCAATTACAATTAAAATAAAAAATGTTAAAAATTAAATCTAAAAGAAAGGATTATTTTATATTATCGAGATTTGTAAAAAAATATAAAACGTGTTTTCTTATTGAAAAACCACATGACAATCAATTACAATTAAAATAAAAAAATGTTACAAAATTAAATCTAAAAGAAAGGGTTCTTTTATATTTTCGAGATTTGTAAAAAAAATATAAAATGTGTTTTCTTATTGAAAAACCACATGACAATCAATTACAATTAAAATAAAAACGTTAAAAATTAAATCTGAAAGAAAGTATTATGTTATATTTTCGAGATTCGTAAAAAATATAAAACGTTTTCTTATTGAAAAACCACATGACAATCAATTACATTTAAAATAAAAAAATGTTACAAAATTAAATCTAAAAGAAAGGATTCTTTTATATTTTCTATATTTGTAAAAAATATAAAAAATTTCTCATCAAAATACCAGATGAAAATTAATTGCAATTAAAATTAGACATATTAATAAATCTAAAATGAAAGGATTCTTCTATAATTTTGAGATTTTTTAAAATCTAAAATAATTATTTTTATATTTTTTATATTTACAAAATATGTATAATTTTAATTATAATTAAATATTAAATTACATAATAAGGTTTTGCATAATAAAACCAAAGAGTTGATCACGAATTCGGCTGACTTTCGGCTCATTACGAGCATTCGCCCTTGAATCGGGACCCATTCATGAATCAGCTCAGGAGTGAGAGGGAAAGACCGGCAAACCTGGTTCGCGTAACAGGGCCTATGTCCGATAGAAGAGGGAGAGTGATAGAGACAGAGAGAGAAAGAGAGTGAGAGGGATGACAAAGTGTCTTGCTCGCGCAACTGGAATAATAAATAGAGAAATACGTGACGGTTCACCGACCCTCTGCTCGATTCCCCAAGCCTGCCTCTTCTGAAGAAGAGACGTACTACATATAACGAAAGGATTTGTTCGTTGACAAAATTTCTAGATCACATCTGAATCAATGCATGTTTGTGCCTTTCAAAACGATAATAGTCTCTTTTTCGCTAAGAAGTTCAGCACATATATACTTTTTTTGTCTTAAAAACTATGATAGTAAGTTGTGTTTCTTAGTTGCGTGTGTCTATTTCTTTTTCGCTACCATGTTCGAATATTTAATTACATATAAATTTGCTTATTAATCACCTTTGTTTGTTACTGTAAAATTTGGATTAACGTGTTTTTTTTGTTTTCTTTTAGAATTGTGGCAGTTATCCAGAAGGGTGGCCTCTTTCGGTAAGAGGCGACCTCTGCCTCCACCTTTATACGCCCGATCCCGGGTGCCTGCTCCCGCGGGACGTCCACCTCTCACTCCACCTCCCGGAAGGGTCGACAGAAGAGGAAAGAGCCGAGTACAAAGCCGTATCCAGGTCCGGCCGCGTCCTACTCCGTGGTCTGCCCACGCCTTCTTTGCTCATGGCCCACGAACAGACGGACGCGTCCGACTTGCCAGGCCTGCTGCGCCTGCTCGTCGTCTCCGCGGAACGCTGCTTCGCTCGGGTACCGCTCTCCGAGCTGGCCTATCCCAGGTCCGAATCGCCGGTCCAGTACGGCACACCAGAGAGGAAGGACTCTTCCAACCAGACCCCGCCGATGTTCGAGATGGACTCTTCCATACCACATATCGACAGCGACGAGGAACACGAGACTAGCCTTAAACGTAAGTACGCATTTATTTTATAACCGCACAGACCTGCAGCCACGAATTATTGAAACAGTAAATTTTCAACACTATTTTCCCGTCATTCGATTCTGTCGTCCTTGCTGGGTTTTAGTATGTCATTCGCGGGGGAGAGAGGAGAAGATAGAGATAGAAGTAAATAGACAGATGCAGACAAAGGGAGAAAGCGATAGAGATAAACATAGACAGAGAAAGTCATGACCGAGAAAGAGAGAGAGAGAGGGAGAGAGAGAAAAAAGACAGGGATGGATGTAGTGAGATATATAGATATAGTGAGGGAAAGAGATAAAGATGGAAGTTCAGATAGAAAGGGAAAGTGAAAGAAAGAAACAAAGAGAGAGGTAGAGATAGAGAAATTGAAAAAGAAAGAGTTTGAGATAGAGAGACATAGTGAGAGAAAGAGGCACAGATAGGCAGACAGAAAGAGAGAGAGGGAGAGATAGAGAGAGAGAGAAAGAGAGAGAGAGAGAGAGAGAGAGAGAGAGTGAAAAGACAGAGATGGACGTAGAGAGATAGATAGATATAGTGACAGAAATAGATAAAGATATACTGATAGAGATGGAGATAGACAGAGAAAGTGAAGGAAAAGAAGAGAGAGAGAGAGAGCGAGAGAGAGATAGAGAGAGATAATAAAAATGTTGGGTAAAATATAAAGGCTGGATTGAGTTTGAAGGTTAAGCTAGGGAAGAATTAGCACTCAAAATGTAATTTCTAAAAAACAAATGATATAAATATATAAATGTATATAAATGAAGATAAGATTTTGAATTTTAAAAAAATATAATTTCATCATTTAAAATGCTTGTGCTTGAAAAGTCGCATTTTATAGCACGTTTCTTCTGGATAGCTGACTTTTATAAAAAGCGTGTGAAACCATCACCTTTCGGTTTGTTCGAGGCGGTCAAAATTCTGACCCGTCGTTCGTGCCAATTCCGACTGAATTGAAATTCCCGTCGTGTCTGAGGAAGACGTTTGCCATATCCGATGATTCACAATAAGTAGAATTCTATCCAAGGCGAAATTACTCATCCGCGAATCTCCGACCTCTTAGTAACCGGGAGACGGGTGAAGATAGGGCTAACATTCGTACTAGAGATTGGAACCCTTGAGCTGATATGCTGATTTCAGCTTTGAGGTTGAATGAAGTATATGTTGAAGATAGATTTGTCTAGATTTTTTTTAGGATTGTCAAGTTGGAGGCTATGTTTATTATTTATTACGTGTCGGCTATTTAGGCTCGTCTTTACATAAATACTTTGAAACTTTCTAACCCAACAATCGATCCTCCTCACAATTTTATTATTATAAGTAACTTTTTAAAAAATTTATTACAAAGTATTAGGTAACAAACTATAAATCATCGTATACCATACAAATATGTACACATTGTTAATGTTGAAAGCACCACACTAGCACTAATGCCAGCACTGCATCGGTAGAACACATGCTTAGAGGAGCCAGCCATTAGGTGTCAAGGATGTACCGAGTCCACTGTCGGTTAGGGCGACGTAGCGGGTTGTCAGGATGGGAATGAGTGGAGAGGGCTCGAGCAGTATGATTAGGATGGTTCGAAATGTTGATGTGGTTGGTTTGGAATCTGGACCGGATCCGTTCGTTGACAAAAGGAATGTTGAGGTCTTTGTGTGTAGAGGTTAGTGACATAAGGTGCTTGGACAATTTGCCTAAGGACTTTCGATTGGAAGGACTGCGCTGTATATTGGATGGCTTGACCGTACCCCATAGTTCTATTCTGTATGTCCAAATTGGTCTTAGTAAAGTCTCGTACATTGTTAGCTTGGTCTTAGCTGTCAAAGTCGATTTAGCTCTTAGAAGTCTTCATATTAATCCAAGTCTTGTAATAAGTTTTTTAAAAGTCTTTTGTGGGAATTTTTCGTCAGTCTGCTGTCGAGATATAGTCCCACGTATTTGACTTGAGTGGAAACTGGTATCTCTTTGTNGGGTTTCAGAGTACTCGATATTCCTCTGAAGACCCGCCCTCGTTCACGCTAATAAATACATTCTTTCTACCAAAAACACACAAAGAGATATCTATCCTAGTTTGGTGGGTCTGTGGGGTACTCGATATTCCGACCACTGAGTGCATTTTTCTTCGTTCAGTCTTGTCCTACATTGTTTACACCGGTCTTCGATAAGCTCAAGGTGTTCCTGTATGTTGCAGGTAGTTGGATAGGATTCGACTTATAGAGCGTAGGGTTGAGGTGTCATCCGCGTAGATGGTGATAATAGTCAAGATGCATTGGTAAATCAGCAATATACATGATACAAAGTATAGGCCCAAGTATGCTCCCTTGCGGTAGCCGGCCTGTATCTGTTTAACTTACGAGAACTCATTGTCGCACCTAAAACAACGATCAGTTATGTAGAATTTCAAAAGGTTATGATGAGAGGGTAGGAAGCGCTTAAATTTAGAAAATATGCCTGGATGATACATTAGGACATAAAAAGGAAAATTTTATTTTTTTGTAGCGATAAGTTAAAAATAAAGCGCAACTTAATATAAACTTTATGATTTATCGACTTTTGATCCGTTTTTTCCGGAATTAAATTAAATCTTGTTAATTCAGAGATAAAACAGCATATCAGTCAAGCATTCCAGTGATTTGATCTTTATAACCCGGTTATGATATTTGTGCACATAAGCATACTAGGTGTGAATTTAAATAGCCTAAATAAGGTTTCCCTACTTCCTTAAATAGATCGAAAACATTGAATTTCTTCAACCCCCGTTACGTTATCACACATATTTTGCACATAATTCAATGTGGTTAATTAGTTATAATCTTGAACATTTCTTTCAGTCAATTAATTAATCTTTTTATGTAAGGCCTTGATTGAAATGAAAAAGTTAGTGTCACAAGCGGGATTCGAACCCACGACCTTCGGCTCAATACGCCGCTGTTCTAACCGCTTGATCTATTGAGCGGCGTATTGAGCCGAGGGTCGTAGGTTCGAATCCCGCTTGTCACACTAACTTTTTCTTTGCAACCAAGACCTTACATAAAAAGATTAATCACTTGAAAGAAGAAATTTGGTCAATCAGACTACTACGTATAATGGATTTAATTTCTTTCAGTTCGGCTGAACTTTTGTAGGAAAATCTGAAAATAGGTCTGAATAGTTGAGTTAAAGAAACCTTGTAATTATAACAATTTTTTATTTGTTCATATGATTCTCGGATTTGGGCGCTAACGATTGCTTTTTGTTTCCAAGTACAATTCTGAAACCAAAAGTGTATTAGTACAGTGAAACCTCTATCTAAGGGACAGTCATAATGTCACCACGTTTTTTTTCGAGAGGTGTCCTTTAAAAAGAGATTAATTATCATTTGATAGCACATAGCTGTATATTTATATGTGCTGGTACTGTTAGGTGTAGAAGTGTAGGTAACGACCAGGCCATTGCGGTATCAGCACGACACCTGGGTCCTTGTCCTTAATTTAGAGTGTCCCTTAAGTAGAGGTATTTAAAACATAAAACCTCTTGCATGGACATTGCTTTCCTATAAACGAGATGTCCCTAAACAGATGAGTCCCGGAGTTTTCACAGTGATTCGCTTTTTGTTTAACATATAGCAAGTGAAGGTTTAGTACACATCATAACCACGTGCTTTCCCTTTCTTTCTCAGAATCAAATGACAGGCTTCGCCTGAAATAATATGAATTATAAAATTGCAAACGTCGTTTCATCCCCGTTTAGAATTCGCGATGTGAATATTGAAAATTCGAGAAGGAAATCATGCGTGAAATTCGATCATCGGAAATCAAAAGGTCGTAAAGGAAAGCGGGAGAGTAAAATCGAATCGGGTACGACAATTACGATCGATTAACTTGTATTACTTGTCGAAATCTATCAGGCGTCGTGGAACGACCTCGAAACCTTAGTCCAACATCCATTATGGGATCTATTAGCTTTCTAAATCTCTTTGGGCGAAAACCCTACGCCGGCGTGCGTTTGTCTTTTCTTTACCAATACGGTTTCGTGTTCGATTGTCATACCGGACAGAAGAGCCCGACGTGCACACTGCCTATGCAAATAGCTCTGTTTGGGTGGTCTCCCCGGCATCCCAACCCTCCGATCCTACGGTGCACGCCGGCTAGACTTTATTGCCACGGGATAAAACCACGTAAAAGAACGCCGCGTCTATTTCTCGTCTGTATTTTCTACTCGGTGAATAAATGTTCAATTTATGAACGTCCGTTTCTTTAGAGTCCTATTGAACCTTATTGAATCCATTGTGGAAAAATGATCACTAAAAGAGGAATTATATTGAAAAGTCATTTATACTAGCGGAATAAATATATTCGTCTTCTCGTCGTAATCGCTTGTAGATTTATCACGTCTCATTAAATTATAATCTTATACTTACAATTTACGGATTTCAGCATAGCATGGAGCTATAAACTTACCGCTAGACAGTATATCAGGATTAACATATGGTGATGAACCAAACAAAACTTATCCTCGTCAGCTTTATGTATGTAAATTAAAGCGGAATACTCCAAATCAGGTCAAGCACCCTGGATTACATGTGAAATGCCTGATTTTATTTTCACAGCCATTAAAAAATTATACATTTGGGATTTTGTCCTGATCACGAACGGGACTAGATGTGCTTCAGCGCTTGATTATAACGCAAATGAAAAATATAGAAAACGCCACATTTACTGTTATATAGAGTCTTCATGACTACCGGATTTTTAAGTTGAATCAATATTTCCTGCCAGAAAAGAGTGATCGCCGATGCCTTTTTCTTAGCAAATCACACTTCTCAGCCTTGCCGACCTCTCGTTCCAAGAAAATGCCCTATCTCCTGCATTTAGAATATGAATGGCCCTTCATGGTACACACCCTCAAGTATTGTGTCTGCCACTTGTTGCCACTATAGCGACGACGGGTGGTATAATGTGGTTAAGGCTCGGGGCCCTGAAAAGACCCTCGTGTCCTCATCCACGTCCCTC